TACACACTCTGCCTCGGACATACACACTCTGCCTCGGACATACACACTCTGCCTCGGACATACACACTCAGCCTCGGACATACACACTCTGCCTCGGACATACACACTCAGCCTCGGACATACACACTCTGCCTCGGACATACACACTCTGCCTCGGACATACACACTCTGCCGCTGACGCCTCACTTGGGGGGGCTGACCGCCGTTTGCTCTTCCCCTGGTGCTTTGTGGTGGCGGCTCCGTCTGATCTGGGACCTCAAAGGAGACTTATGGGAACGCGAACCCCCCACCCCAGCATGCCACACGCCCCACCCCACCCCACCCCACCCCCCGGGGGTATTCAGTCGGCCCTGCGATGAGAAGTAAACAATTTCGTTTATCGCCCTCTTTTTGGAGCCCTCTGTGCCTTTCTCTCTCTCCCTCTCCCTCTCTCTCCCGTCTTTTCTTCTCCTTTGTTTTTGTCTTTTGGAGGAGCGGGGATGAGGAGTGATTAAGGTCCCGGCTGTGTGCGGAGGATCCCACCGTAATTAATTTTCTGCTGCATTAATTAGAAGGCCAGTGGCAGGCGGGACTCCCGGCTGCCGCGGTCCTGGCTCAGTGAACCACCCTCATGACTCCATCCAATCGTGTGACAGGAATTAGGGGCCAGATCAAATTTACACATCCCCGTCCCTCCCAGCGGAGTCCCACTTCGGGGCTGGCCGCCTGATTTGGGAATCTGTGGCCTTTATTTTGGAGTCTCAGGGATGAGCGTTGGTTTTGCGGAGGGGATTCTCTGAAACGTGTCACCACCAAAGCCACCGGCTCTGTGTCTCGGGTGCCAGTCTCCTCTCAGGCTGTGCTGCCCATTACTTCGAAATCTCTGGTGACCTCTGACCTGACGCCATAAATGGCACTGGTGCCATGGGCGCTGGAGGCCCGAAGCCCTTAGCCTGCCGCTATGTTAGGCTGCTTCATGACGACTGCAGTTTTGGCCCTAGAGACAGGGACACCCTCCATCATGCCTGATAAAGTCTGAGGTCTCTGGATATTATCCAGCTGATTGTCTTCACTGTGAGATCTCACACGGGTTTAAACATTCATTACAGTGAGGTGACACATTTACAGTTATTTAGCTGGCAAATGCTTTTGTCCAAAGCAGCACAGTGAGGATCAGAGAACAGGGTCCAACAGTGGCTCTGGAGTAAGTGGGCCTAAGGGCCTTGTTTAGGGGATTTGAACCGACGACCTTCTGATCATGGGCATAGAACTATA